GAAATGTAAGCTTTGATTAGTAAAAAAAAAAAAATAATAAAAAAAATTAGATTATTTTCATCATTCATCAAGGTTTAGGAAATAAGGCCATATTACTGATTTCCTGAGGCAGAAAAGAAGAGATGGTGAATGGGCTTTGGGAAGAGCATGATTCAATGAACTGGTCATTCTGGATTGTGTTATAAATTAAACTAGTGGTTTCTAGAATTTTGTTTTACACTCCTGAGGGTTTTGAATGAAAATACAGATTATTATTATTTTTAAAGCCAACAGAAGTCTGCTGGTAATGAAATTTCTTTTTCATCTTTCACAGGATTCCATGGGTCAGGCTTGAAAAACCCCTGGGTCAGTACCTCTAGGGATCCCTTGTGACCAGCCAAGTGTAGGCTCAGCTGTGTGGCTACAAGGCATTGTGTTTCAGGACCTTCTTGTCCTTATTCAAATCTCTAAACTAGGACCTCTGAGGAATGGGCTGAAGGGAACATTTGAGAAGTTAGTATTACCTGATCTGCCCCAGGTGGTAACTCTACTTGATGAGAATTTTCAGCCTTTGGGAAATAAATCCACTTCCATACCTGTTGCAAGGCTAAAAAGAGAACCAGGAGTGCAGCCAGGGGACATCCTCATCCGTATAGATCTGGCTACACTATTCCAGTGTGTGACTGCATCTTGTGTAGACACATATCTGAAGTAGTTTTATATTATCTGTCTTTGTAGTGCTGGCAATGTGGCTGTGAAACTGTATCATGGGTTGCCAAAACCCTTCTGAGAATTGAGGAACCATTTGAGTGATCAGCCCAGGCTCACTACCTCTTTGTGACATTTATACTGACATAGCCGTGAGGTCAGATCAAAGATCTAGCTCAATGTCCTCTCTCAGACAGCAGCCAGGAGGGAAAAGTACAGGAACACGATAAGGACATGAAATTACTTTTCCACATTGCTCAACCACTTGTCAGCGATTTGCTGCTTAGAGGCTTCCTAAGGCAGAGGTGGTCTTAGTGGGTTTCCCTGCTCCCTACACCTCATTATTTTCTGTAATCTCCTATTCAACGCATGTCAGGTTCTGGCATCCAGCATATCCCGTGTCAGGAAGTTGTACAGTTTCTCTAAGTGCTATAAGTAAAATTACTTCCTCTTAGTGATTTTGCATTGCCTTCCCTATAATTTTAATTTGCTGCCTCCTTTTCTTGCATGAGAAACATGGAGAGTGAAGAATCATTCCTTAGTTACGCTCCTTAGGCCACTCATGATTCTGGGCTCTGTAAAAACACCTTTCTACCACCTCCTCATCTTTTTTTTCATGCTGAAATACTTTAGCATATTCAGTAGCTACTGTTATGGAAATTTTTCTATTCCTTGTTGCCATTTTATGTTCCTTTTGTTCCTTTGTTATGTGAACTGCTGAACTATCTTGAGGATCTATGTAATTAAAGGTGTGGAGTTCTTGAATGTATTTTGTATTCCTTGCTAAGCTCATGCTTCTGCAGCTGATGCTGTTGTTAATACTCAAGTTAATTAGTTTACAATCAGTCTGGGAATTTATATTTTAGTTTCAGTTTCACAGTGGCATTTTAGTAGGTAAAGCAATACTCCCAGAACTGTTAATGAGGTGAAAGTCAAGCTTGAACACATAGTTTGACAGAGGGAGACAGGGAGGATAAAGAGGAAAAATATTTCTTTTGTCAGAGCATGTGCGTTTGTATATACACAAATAAAAATGCAGGTGTTGTTGAAGCAATGTGGTAGAAATTAGCAGTGGAAGGTGTTCTTTGTTGAATAGCTTTGAAGAGATGCTGATTCTTTAGCAGCAGATGGCTGCTGAACAGGTGTGCTGGCTCAACTCCCACCGTTTTAAGGACAATGTTTCCCTCCTTGTATCTTGAACTTTGAGGTGCTAAAGGCTTGATCCTACTGGTGCTAATCAAACCAGATTATGCTTTTCTCTGTAATTCCACTCTGGGTTTCTGAATTAATTATATTGTCTGTATCAGAGAGGAAAACAGAGTGAAAAAAAATGGTCAACTGAGTTTCCATTGCCTCAGTTTGCTACTGAAAGCAGCTTGCTGATTATAGCAAGAGGAAATGTTTACTGCTGATCATCTTGCTCTATATGGGGAGCTCTTGTACAACAAAGAACTATTAAAATCAAAGATAGAAGGATCATAATCTGACTAACTGAAAGAAAAAAAAAAAAAAAAGCTTTTTATTTGTACCATGCTGGTGTTTATGCTGTTCAAAATTTAGAATTAAACCAAAGTTGCACAAACTTATCCGTCTTTGCTAATCAGAGTTTTGATTCATTTTCTCTGAAAACTTCATGGCATGTAATAATTTCATTTTGTAAGCCTTGAACTTCTCCTGAAACCACCATTTTTTTCAAGCTGTGATCCAATGGTGGCTGTGTAGAGATGCCAGAAAGCTGATCAGAATCCATGATCTCTTGTAAAATGTTGCCTCGGGTTGGCTGTCAACTAAATGGAATATCCTTGTTAGCTATATCCATCTTTGCAACATCAATTTTTTTCATTCTCAGATGCATTTTTTCAGGGATGATGGTATGCATTTAAACATTTAATTAGAGATCTATTATGTGTTAGTAAATCATTGCAAAGCAAATGAGCCAGCTACTGTTTTGGATTCTATCTTATTCTGGATCTTTTTGGTGTAACAGCACTGCTCATCTGTCTGGTCACACTGCCCAGTGAAGATTTGGTACCCTGCAGCTTGGACCCAAAAGATTTACTTTATATAATGTCCTTCAGAAACCAACAAACAGGATACTACATCAGGAATGTTTTTTCTTACTCTGTTTCAAGTAGTTCAGTGGTTGTATTTTATTGCAATAAAAGAGAAACAAAAACCCCAACCAAAGACCAAAATACACTACAATGATTTATTTGTAATGTTGCTTTTCATAAAGAGTGCAACTTTTAATGCAGAAGCTGCCACTGTCACACCGAAATTGTGGCAACTGGTTTCATTCTACACAAAGAAACAGGATTATTGTTTGAGAAGAACCTTGGAAATTATATTTTGAATTTATGTAAAATTATTAATAGAGTAAAATTTGCAGTCTATAATTTTTTTTCTTTGTGGAAATTTCCCTGCTCTGAAATCAAATAAGACCTTATTGCTTTATATCAACAGATGTTGTGATCCAACACAAAATAAAAATTAAAGCCCTTACATTGCTATACAGGTATTGTAGATGAGAAACACATGTTGCTTCATATAAAGTATTTTGCTGGGAGTTGCTCAGAGAGTGGTTAAACTGTACCTATATCTCAGAATAGTTTTTTATACTTTTTGTTACATTTTTCATTGATACTCTAGATATTTTTCTCCACATTGGAAAAGGGCAGCATCATAGAGTATGCTGTGATATATACTTCTGCGGAGGTCCAATCTCATCAATGTTTATAAATATGTTAAGGGCAAGTGTTTGGAGGACAGAGCCAGGCTTTTTTCAGTGAAGTCCAATGACAGGACAAGGGACAGTGGGTGCAAACTGGAGCATAGAAGGTTCCGCGTAAACATCAGAAAAAACTTCATTACTGTGAGGGTGACAGAGCAGTGGAACAGGCTGCCCAGAGAGTCTGTGGAGTCTCCTTCAGTGGAGACATTCAAAACCCACCTGGACACGTTCCTGTGTGATGTGCTCTGGGCGATCCTGCTCTGGCAGGGGGGTTGGACTGGATGATCTTTAAAGGTCCCTTCCAGCCCCTAAGATTCTGTGATTCTGTGCTTTGATCTCCTGAAGGTGTGCTTCACAGCTGTCACACCCAATTGACCCAGCTTACACAGGAAAGACCTGAGCGAGGAGGGTATTGGCATGAGGGAGTCATACAGACAATATGCTCCAGAAACCAAAGAACTGGAGTAAAGAATTTGGTGATAACTAATCATGGAGCTGGAAAGTGAAGTAAAGGAAATAATGCTGGACTGAAGGATGTGAGATGGAGCCAAGTGGCAGGTTATTGCGGGAATGTAGACAGTGCAGTCCAAGCTCCCTGTCCTTCTACCAGCTCTGCTTTTCCATTGCTCACTGGCCACTGGGAACTGCAGCAGCAGAGGAAGCTCTTCTGACTTGGTTTCCGCTGCTCTTTTTTCCCTAGCAATTAACCAAGATAGTGAACCCAGAGGGAGGACATGCCACTGCAAAGGAGGGCTGGGAGGGGAGGGATGCAACAGCAGCCCTATGTCACCCTATCTCTCTGCTGAGATCTGCCCTTGCACCCTGCTCTGGGAACTGGGTGCAGCATAACTTCCATCACTTAAGCAATGTGCATAAGAATATAGTTGACATTTTATGGGTTTATTGCAACTTACCCAATTAAATGTTACAAGTGAGTAAATGTAATAAAAAATACTGTGTTGGTTAGAATGCCTATACTTAATTTTTATCACATGAATGTTGAGAAAGAGAAGTTCATTTCCTAATTTATTCTCAGATGGTGTGGCCACAGAGCTGAAGAAAATTCACTGCCTTTGCCATCTCCCTAAATACTCCTATACTTACCTTTGTGAATTTGTAAAACATAATGATCCTGACAGTGCTGAGCTATGCATATGAATGTGCAACTTTGATAGAAAATTTGAAAAATAGTCCTACATGCCCATTGATCACATTAGAAAAGCTAAAGGATTTTATTTCTTCTGTATTTGTGATTGGTAATCTTCATAGCTTTTTGCTAACCATTCGAAGAAATACAGCAATTAAAGCATAGTTCTTTTAACTTAAGTTCAGTGAAACATCCTGTAATAATTAGAGCATAATAGGCATAACAAACATTTCTTTGTTTCTGTTTGTTATTAATTTAACAACTTTCTCATTGAAATACTATTGTTTATTAGTATAGTACTGAAATTTAAGTGGTAGTATAGTAGACATATATGATGTTATTTGACATAATCATGGAAAAGTCAACTGAAGCAAATGTTGTTCCTGAGTTCATAGTGTAGACAAGCAAATTTATGTTTCTGTGTATCATTGTCAGGTTTGGAGATGGCTATTCTGTTAAAGTTTGGCTTAGTAAAGAAATAAACTATCAAAGAATGATTTTGGACTGTCTACAGAAGCATTTTTCTGGAACACAGTTTAAGGTACAGTTAAAACTCCTCATCATAGCATTTGTTCTATGGCAATATTAAGTGTGGGCTGTTAAGAACAAAATACACACTTTTGGATACATTAATCTTTTTGGAAAAAGTATCTATGAGCATTCCCTTTATTTTCCTATTAAGCAGTCCTTAGAAATATGACTTGTGATACTGATTTAATCAAGTCCAAAGTGTCATTTATACAATGTAAATAAATGGGTCCTATCTCTGAGTGAAAATTTCCTTTTGCATTTATTGCTCATGAAGTTCATGAAACTCACCTTTGTGTTCATGTGAAGTAGGAGTGCAGTGTAGTCACTGTCAGTATTAGCTTTGGTTGCTTTCTGATGAGATGCAGAGATTATACATCTCAGTCTTTACTGAGATTCTTTTATTTGATACAAAGCCTTACAGAAGACATACAGTAATTACATTCCAAGAAAAACTCTCAAAGGCCTTTTAAATTTTTTTTACGTGATTCATATTTAGGAAAAAATAATATAAAACTATGACTACCTTAGATTTGAACTAGTTTATATGTATGTATATACGTGTGTGTTCCCTCAGCCTTTTCTCAAACTGCATTGTAACAGCGCTAGTATGTTGAAAATCTATAGCATAATAGTGTCTTTAATTTTTATATCTTTTACAAGATTAACAAAATATCATCTCTAAACATGCACAAAATGTGCACTCTGAATAATTATTTGTGCTGCCAATGTAGACAAATACATTCTTGTTCAGAAACTCATATTTTCCATGTTAATCTGCAATTCGAGAGCTTGTTTAAACTAGACTGGTTATAAGCAACTGTATTTTCATTATAGTGGGCATTCACTTTTATCTGTTTTCATAATTTTTGCTTGTTTTAAGGGACAGCATCTTAACCTGCTGGAGTACCACATACCACAAAGTCAGGGATGCTTAGCAGAGCTCTTCAGAGTCCTAGAAAATCACAAAGCTCTTCTCCAAATCAAACACTACTCCATTAGCCAAACCACATTAGAGCAGGTAAAATTTCTTTTGCTTTTTAATTTTTATCTCTTTTCTGCCCCCTCCCCCCTTTTTTTTCTTTTTTTTTTTTTTTCTTTGTGTCTAAACATGCTGTATACTGTAATTATTGATGTAGTATAACGCTGTATTATCTGGATTATCCAAATATATGCAATAAGCCAGGAGTTGCAGGCTGTTTCACATCTACACAGTAACTTCATGAACCCTACTGCTTTTGCACTGGAGATGAGCACAGTAAAAGCATCCCAGTAAGCCACATATTTATACTGTATGCAAGCATAATCAGTGCTTAGATGCATCTAGATCTGTGCAGAAGGTGCACAAACTGTCACCTCCATAGTACAAAAGTGGGGATCTTAACCAACACCCTTGAAAAGGCTGAGAGAGTCTCTAAATTACAGCAAACCTTAGACTTACATGATATTTTCCTTTGGGAGTTTTGTTTTGTAGTGTTATCCTGAACATTAGAGCACAGTGGAAATGCACAAGCAGACAGAAGGGATCCCCTCTTGGGCTGTGAAATCATGTTTGGGCAAAAGGAAGAACAGGCTGATGGAAGGATGGGATTTCTAGGTGTTGTGATGTGTTACAGCATCTTCATATGCAACTTCTTGTTATGAATTCTACAAACTGAGTCACATCTAGTAACAATGTAAATTTTCTAAGATAAATAGTGTGAACTTATTCCTTTTTCCCATGTGGAAATCATGAATGAGGTATTCTGATCTCTACTGATGTATTTACTGCTTGTAAATTATCTGTTCACTGGATGGCTGCATATAAGGTAATTTCAGTCTCTTTGTTCAGGGATTGTTCACTCAAGCTTAACTTTCTCTCCATTATTCATGGTGATTCATCACCTCAGTCACCTACCATTGTTTCCTCTCCCTGATTGAGTGTCAGTTTTAAACAGGAAAATAGTTCTCCTGAATAACAAAGACCCTTATATTGCATTTTAGGGGTTATTTTGCATATGAATATGATTATTTGAATCAGGAGTTGCCAGCTTTACCTCTACATTATTTGTTGTCAAATAGTTGAGTCATTAAAAAGCAAACAAACCTTTCTGTAGAAAACCTTAAAAAAAATAAATTGAGGAGGCACATTAGTTGTTGAATCATTACTCTGCGATGTTCCAAAGTGTAATTTCACCTTGAAATATCTGGAACCTTAACTGTGATGACTACTGATAGAAACAGCAGGCTGAAGTTCTTTATTTGTGTCATTTCATAGCAAATAAAACCGTTTCACACTAACTTGTGCAGCAGTAAAATATAATTTCCATTCATAAATTAATAACTAATTTTAGGATTATTTTTGTAATTAATCAAGCACTGTGTTAGCTGGAGAGGTGAAGAGGGATTATTTCTAGAGTTTGCCAAGCATATCTCTGAATTCTGTGTCACAAAAGTTTAGGAAGGCAACTGAAAAAATATCATCAATGTCTCCAAAGTTTCAGTTCTATACTGCTCTTTTGAAAGTCCTACTTATTTTTTCCTGTTTTACAGGTATTCATTAACTTTGCTACACAAGAGCAAGGAGTCTCACATTCTTCACAAGAATCTCCTGTTGGTCATGACCACCTGCCAGTCTAGGCTCAGAACTTTATGCAGCTTCAGCAGCACGTGTGTGTGTGTGTGTTAGTGTGTACGTACATACATTTTACATGCAACAGCTTTTCAGATCTTAACAATTTGTGTATGAGAAACAAATAGAAGTAGAGGTGAGTTTGCATTTGTAGGCCAGGAGGAGTGATACCATTTCTCAGTAGAACACGAACTGCTTACATGTAGACCAAAAATCGGCCAAAAAGTACTGCTTTTTAATTAACTGGAATTTTATAATATAAATGGCCTAATCAATGCATCTTTGTGTAAAGAAAAAAAAAATTAAAAAGGAAAAAAGGCTGATCTGAACTGTCACAGCCTATATAAGATTTTTGGTGGTGGCTGTACGTTTGAGTAATCACTTGCATGCACACGTAATACCTAATTTTTACATGACAAGGCAGTAAAAACCCAACGTATGGTAGCAAGTGCTAGGTTATCACCCAATAGTTGTATTTAATACCACAAATTGAGAGCCTCTTGACTTCTGTATTAATTCAGATCTGTGTTGTGACAAGCTAAATTAGCCTTTTTATTGCATAAAGGATGCTCTGTATTTCATAAAGTTTTATGTTTAATAGGTTATTAGTGTACTAGTCTGTCTCCCAGATACCTTAAGTAAATTTAACAATGTTTCATTAATCATACTTGACAATAGGATTTCTCTTATGCCTGCAGGTCATTGCTGGAGAAATTTTCAAGTATATTTGTAATGACCTATTTTCTTTTTCTCTTATTCTTGTTTCTTTTTTGTCCCAAAAAGGATGTTGAATTGCTATTTAATGGACATGATAAAAGCAAGTAAGAAAAGCATTCAGACACTGATCAATACATTTTTCAATAAATATATATTACAATGCTGGATATGTTAGACAAGGCCATGCCACAGCTTTCAGCATACGCTTGCATAAAAAGAGTGAATACTTAATGGCTAAAAACTCTGTGTCTTGTGGTTGGAGAAAAAAATTATGAAAAAAATTAGGACTAATTGCCTCTTCTTCTAAAATCAGCCCTGAGACTCCTATGAAAAGTAGCTGATGCCACTTGTATTGGACTGTGCTCTCTGATAGTTGAAACTGTAGAACTAGTGACTTATAAGTGAATTGCTGCAGTATAATTCTGGAGCGGGCAGGGGAGGGGAAATTTACTTTGAGATGGAACAATCTGATTTTACATTAACAATTTTGCAGTGCTGCTACTTCAGCTCCCTGCTGTATTATGATGAAATATTAAAAAATATATTTGTGTTCTAGGCTTTGCAAGCTGACCCAGAATACTCTTTATTTAGGCTTGAACTGTTGGTGTGGCCCACTGTGCTCTTCTAAAGTCGTAATTTGGGTGACCTATTTCTGTATGGGTGAAATTAAATCCTAGAAAATAAAAAAGTGAAGATTTACAGACTTGGTCTCCATGTACATATAGATCTGAGAGAGTGAGTTTATGAAGCTGCTTTTTTATTAGAATGGCTTGGTATATACAGTCTGCTGCAGGATATCAGAACTTTGCCGTGGTCCTCAAGAGCCTGCTTTAATGGCACTGAAGAGCCATTAAACTGCAACAGTCACCATCCTGGCAGAAGTGCTGTGACACAATGGGATGGCCAAGTTTGAGAGGGACCCAGGTATCTTCAATTTCTACATAAGGCTGGGAGTAAAATTTTCTTAGGAACCCAATCAGAAAAAAAAAAAGGTCAATGCTACAAAGCAGAATGGGAAAGAAGTAGTGGAGGCAAAAGAAAAAGAAGACAAATGCAGGAAATTTGGGAAGAAAAAGAGATGTGCTAGGATAAACTTGTCCTGCTTAGTTGTAGGATCTTAGAGTGGAAGAGACTGAATGTGCAAGGCACAGCCAAGAGTCTTGGAGTCATAGTCTGAAACCACTCAATGGAAGAACATTTCTGGAGCTTTTGGTCAGATGAAGAAAATAGAAAGGAGTGAATATATGGGAAGAACATACACACAGAGGGTTTTTTGTTGCTGTTTGGTTTGTTTTGTTTTTCTGTTGGTATGTCTAGATCTGTAAATTGTTGAAATTATGATGGATTGTCTTTCTTTGGATTTTGTTTTTTTAATAACTTATATCTCTCTTTCAACCATCACAACTCCTTAAAAAAAATGTACACAAAAGTTAGAAATTTAGAGGATGTATTTTGGAAAAGAGCTGGTGTCAGCTCTTAGGGTGTAAGGCAACTGAGAAAAAAAGTCCCAATTGTATTAAATTATGACAAGAGTGTTTATTCCAGTTTAGGAAGTGTGCCAGGGAGCTGAATTAATAAAGCAGTCAAGCAGCTTAGTTAGACCAAGGTAAACATAAAAGCTTACGAGACTCACCATGGTGAGACAGAAAAACAGTAGCCAGGCTGAAAGCTTAGAGAGGGGAGCTTTTTCAAGTTTTGGCTGTGTAACACTAATTAAATGTCCTTCTTTTCACATTAAAATTTGAAATATTATATTATTTTAATAGATGAATACAGTCAATAAGGTTTACTTCGGATTGATGGTTGAGTAAACTCAGTTAACTGTGTTTTTCTTTTTAAAAATTGCTTCATATGCATCTCAGGAGACCCAATTTAATTCAGGCAAGTAACAAATTATGTCTGTCTACCAATCTTTTATGGCTGAAGAAGGTCAGAATATAATTGAGTTCCAGTGTACTGGGTACTGTCTCAGAGGATATTTTCCTTCTCCTTGACTTACTGCATTCCAGAAGCATGTAAGTTTCAAAAAAGGTCTTTTGAAGACTTTTTTATCTTTCTTTTCTTTTCTTTCCCTTTTTTTTTTTTTTTTTTTTTTTAATCTAAAACTAGGAGTCTGGACAGTAAAGGCCATTTATAAGATAATGATGAAAGAATCCTCAAATTCACACAGTAGTATCTCTTCTTCTAAAAACTCTGTTGTTTGAATCAAAAACAGCTGAGGATTTTAAACCATAACTTCTCTTGTGAGATTTTTGTTAGGAAAGTTTCATGTAATTTGGACTAGAAATTTTTATGAATATATAAAGCATGCCCTTCACCCTGAACTATAAACTAGAATTGAGCTTAAAATTAGAAAATCAAATGATTGTCTGAAATGCTCAACATCGAAACTGGAGAGATTATATTCATACTTTAAGCAACTATTCCTTTGTGGAAATAAAAAGAAGAGCTTCTGCTCACCATAGAGCAGATTATTTCAGGCCCTAATGTAATTTTTTAATTATGTAATTTTTTAATTACAGAAGACTTGGGCAAAAATAAGCTGTAGGTCTGAACCATAAATCAAAGTGCCAGAATTTTAGTGGTGGTAGAAGTGGACAGGATGGCAAAACTCATAAATTGTTACTTTGAGTCTGGCTGCTAATTAATTTTTTGTGTAGATTTTTGTCCTGAAAAGAAAAAAAATTTTCTGATTTGGTTTAGTCATGACCAAACCCGAAATTTTTCCCCTAACCTAGTGGAAGATGTGTAATGTGATTTCTGGCAGAGAAACTGGGTGTCTTTTGAGCTTGTTGTCCTTGTGAAGTGTAAATCAATGTGGTCTGAAATCTCCTAAGTTATGGAGTTGAATATGACTCTTGATGGAACTCTTCAACACCTAGATTAGTCTAAACCAAATTTAGCTAAGAAATTCCTAGTCTTTTCCTGATAAGCAGTAAAGCTGACACCTTCTTTGATTCAGTTAAATATGATTTAATTTATTAATTTTTTTTGCTAGCACTTAAAGTTTTCTTTTTAAAGAATAGGGAGATCAAATCTAGCAGTGCAAAGATTGAGAGCTGACTAGGTCAGGCAACTTTGCTGAAACCTACAACAAATAAAAAGAAAATGGTTCCTGAGTTGCATGTGCGATACTCACATTACAAATAAAACTGATGCTGCAAGTGCAGTGATGGTGGGCAGGAAGTATGAAGCAGAAATCACAACTATCTTGTTCTCACAAAGAAATCAACAGTGTGCTGCTATCTTCATGCAAGGTACTGCTGGATGTCTTAACAGATGAATTCTCCATGCGGAATAATGATACAGATCACTGAAGGAAATCAAAGCATTTTTCTTCTTAATTAAATTTTTGTATCACAATGCAGTGCTCTCATGCCTATTGCTACATGGAAAAACATGGGGCACATTCTTGCTCCTTTCACAATGACTCTATAAAATCCAAAATCAGAGACATCTACGCTGTAGAAGCTTACACACGTCTTTAGCTTAGGCAGATCAGATCACTGATGTTCATATCTACCTTCCCATAAATTACAAATGGAGAAAAAGGAAATATAAGCTATATAAGCAAATGATTATGTTAACAGATGAGATTTCTATGTGCAACTAAGTTATTCCAATTATAGGACACCATAAATGCATAATTTTGCTGCCTGTTAGGCTGCTGGTGCACACCATGGACAATTTAAAGTGCCTTGGGATTCAGCAGCAGGAGAGTAAGATCCTCTTATGTGCTGTGGTTTAAGGTAAGGATCAAAAAAGGATCCTTCCATCCACATGTTGCAGCAATAAATGGTAGCTTATAGCTAAGTGTAATGAATATAATTCAAGGGAAGTATCAGAAGCCCTTTTTCCTTTAACTTATTCTGAAATAGAGAAATTACAAACTTCATTTCATAGAGTATTTTGACACTATTCTTTATTCCTAATCTATAGACATAAATCTTTTGGAACTTGATCCAGCTTCTACTAATAGGGAAAGTTTGTGGGATTTTTCTCTCTAATTTCAGAGCTGATTCTTAGGGCTTTAATAATTATAGCTGAGAACTTGAGTGAAGGAGTGTGTGACATTTATTCCGAATCAAATGGAATATGCATGTAATGATCTAGCTGAGAAGTTGCAGTCATCTAGTAATTTGCAGCTAATGATAATTGTCTAATAAGAAGAACCTAAAATTGTTTTCTTAGAAGTCTGTTATTATGAATAATTCTGTTAGCGATGTGCAAATCTAAAGTAGGTTGACACCAGATAAAAAAGTATTCTCAATATACCAAAGGTAAGAATCAA